AACGGATCAAAAACATCAGCTCTGCATATGAAAATGTGATTTCAAGTTTACATGTTTTCAACTTCCTCTTTAAGGTATTGTAAATTGAAAACTCCAGAGAAATGCATAATTCATATGCAATAAAGAGGAAAGGAAAACAGGGACCCATACATTCTTAAGTGTCTGGAATACACACTCAAATACTTTCCCCCTCAGTAGTCTGCTTTATGGAATATTTGCCTTTTCTGCATCTCAAGACTCCAGTGCATTGAAATTTAAAGAACTGAAGATTCCATGCTTCACTGAGCAGATAAAGGTGAGAAGTTTTGTTTAATTTGCTATACAACAAAGGCTTTATTATTAAGACTCATTTTATCACTAGAAAAAGCTGTGCATCGCAACCTGAAGGTATCATTGAAGAAAAACTAATTTTCTGTAATTTAATAACTCAACTTACCTTACATTCAGGTTTTTATGTTTGAAAAGAATGCTATCAGATCTTTTATTTATCACTTGATAAAAAAGGAATACTAGACAATATTAAACTTGTCTGAAGATAAATGCTGAATAATGTTTCAGCTGCACTAGAATGAATAGGTAAAAGTGAAAGAATATGGAAACATATTTTTCTAAAGTAAAATAATGTGGAAACAAAAGCTTAAAACTAAAACAAGTGCTAACTGTGCTATCAAAAAATCAAATATTAGTTTTTAAAATCATGACATGTTATTTGTTACCTTGTAGCAGACAGCAGAATTTAGTCATCATTACTCTTCTCCTTAAAACACTTATTCTGATTTAATATCTGTTGTTTACTATCCAAAAAAATTCCTAATGGAATTTTATATGTAGGATGAGCACTTTCCTTAGGTCACTTTTAGTTACTAAATATATTATTTATTTATCTTTTTTCCCTGGATGATTCTAAGTGTGTGTACATATCGTAAATACAGAGGTGTAAGTTAAATCTTATTGTGAGAAAAGTTTAACTTTTAGCACAAAAGTAAATTATGCACCTCTACAAAATTGTACTACAGCTGATAATGTACAGTGAGTGCTATCAAGCAAAAATCATTTAAAAGTTTAAAATACCTGTTTTACTATACTATAAAAAAGAACATCCCCCCCGTACTCAATTTGAATCCACTAACTTCACACTAAACTACATTCCCTGACTTCACACTAAACTACATACCCTCGCTCCCTTTTAAAATTTGATTTTTTTCTGGGCATAGTGGAACATTCAGGAGGCTGAGGAAAAAGGATCATCAAGAGTTTGAGGTCAGCTTTGACCATATAGTGAGTTCAAGGTCAACCTGAGCTACATGAGCCTTTGTCTCCAAAAAACATTGTTTTTATTTTTTTTAGTTTTGAGATAAAGTCTTGCTCGTTCACTAAATTGGCCAAGCTGGGCTGCAGCTTGAGATGTGCCTGCCTCAGCTTCCCAAGCGTGCACCACAATGCCTGGGTAACCGATTAATTTCATTTCCAGAAAATTCCTATGAAATTATTAAACTCGATGTGGGTAACGGAGAAGTGCAGTCATCTAATTAAGTAGCTGACAAACTGTAAAGATGAAAGTAGGTAAGTGTATTTATTGAACAGCTAAGTTTCATATATAAATTGGGGTAAAGGAAAATGCCTTGAGAGCGTGATCTAGAGGAACACTACTTTAGTGAGATACAGGCAGCTAGCAGAAGGGGAAAAGAGACCTATAGGCAGTTACAGAACTCTACTAAGCAAGACACGAAAGTGGGCATGATTGTATTTATAATTATAGTGAGGAAAAATGTAAATTCCATGTGGATTAATTTCTAGTTTAATGTAAACTTGTATAACTTTTCAAATCTCTATTAGTCTTAACCTCGTGTATATTAGCCACAATCTAAGACTCTCTACTTTTCTAATGTTGCCACACTTCTAATCAAGGAAGGATCCCCATAGGGGATGACATTCAAATAATCTTGCCCTGGGTGTGCTGAGCTTTACTCGATTCTATTACAGTACGTAATACCTTTTTTTCACAAACTCAAGTCTTGCCATGAGTCTGGTAGCAAACCAAGTTGGATGAGAACTCAATCAAATTCAATGTTGACCTTATGGGGTAATTTGATTCAGCTCTTGTCCAGTTTGGTTTCCAACCAGAGTCATAGATAGAGAATTGAGTTCGGTGACTGAGTCACCACTGTATTTATCCTGCTGTACTCTAATCCTATAAGTGATCTTGAACTTGTTGATCTTTTTCCATTTACTTTAATAGCCAGCAACTTACAAACCAGAGCATATAAAATACATCTGTGTGAACTGAGGTTAAATTTAATTACTCTTCCCTTAATAGACAGGAGTGGCTATTTTTCAAAATATTTATGATTATTTCTTTTATTTAATATTTATTTATTTGATGCTGCTGGTATACATCAATGGTGTAAGTGTGCTGTAACTATCTTATTTATCTTATGAATGAACATAAAAATTCTATGAGTTTGGAGATGCTAATACCTCAGTTTAACTCATTAAAATTTTTCACTGTTTCAGGAGAAAGATGCTCTGAAATTTCTCATTTTCAAAAAGAAGAATCAATGCTAACAAAGTTGAGAGTGTGTAACTTTCCTGATGTCAGCCCATGAGTAATCAGTAGTATTAACTTTGTAAAACAACTTTGACTTTAGATGATCTTAACAAGTAAACATGATAAGCTACTTCTCACACTGGTTTTAAAATTACGTATTAAAATTTTAGGTGAGTTGAAAAAAATCATTAAATTGCCATATATTTTTCTGCATACTCTCACCTCATGAGGAATAGCAAGATTTCCATAAAGGCTAGATATCACAGTCAAGCTAGGTGAAGATGTGAAAACACACAACATGGTGACATTATAAGTTATCGCCAAACAAACCAGCAGCTCTAGAGTGGAGTAGTCTCATGCCACTCACTCCTGATGATTACCTTTCCAGTTTACCTAAAGGACCCGAATTGTTCAGCTCTCTTCTACTATAAATGTACATCTACATAAGAGTCAGAAATACAAACTTTTCCAAGCTAGAATCAGGTGGCATGCCTGATGCTTTTATTTTTTAGTATTAGCTAAAGGAAATCCTCAGCATGGTACATTTTATTGCATCTGCAGACAGATCAGAGTACTTCCTGGAAAAATTGAAATGACAAGATAGCATCTCTGGCAAATTTTAGGATAATAAAGCAAAGTATTTTTTCTTCCAGGCTCTGACTCTGTGAAAGTTAACAGTTTTCTGTAGCTAAGAAGAATATTCTCTAAATACTGGCACAGGAGGGGAGTTAATCCTGCTTGAGCCAGGGATTTACTTCTATATGATCAGATTATGTGCAGAGTTGATAAATTCCTGCTTGAAGTCAATTAGGGTTTGAAAATGTTTCTCCAGTTCCAAAATAATAATCTTTAACTTCTTCATTGAAACTTTAAAATTAAAATATTTAACATTTATATAATAGTTGTGAGATATATTACAGAAAATTACAGTATCTCTATTAAAAAGAAAAGCCAAAATTTCTCCTGACTAACTAGGATTGTGAATCCCAGTTTTGATGGCTTTCCATAT